AAGAGAGGGCTCCGCCTTCATGACCTCATTACCTCCCAGAGGCCCTACCTTCACATACCATCACATTGGAGATTCAGTTTCAAGATGTGAATTATGAATTTTGGGGGAGACACATTCAGTCTATAGCAACATATATATATGTATGTATATATATATTCCTTCAGTTCTGTTCTTTTTAAAAAAGATTTATTTATTTTTATTTTAGAGAGCAAGGGAGAGAGAGAGGGAGAGAGACAGAGGAGGGGCAGAGGGAGACAGAATCCTCAGGCAGACTCCCCGCTGAGTGTGGAGCCCGACGCGGGGCTTGATCCCAGGACCCTGAGATTATGACCTGAGCCAAAATCAAGAGTCAGGTGCTTAACCGACTGAGCCACCCAGGTGCCCTTCAGTTCTATTCTTTTTAAAATAGGTTTATTGAGATATAATTTACCTTCTTTTACTGTAAGCATCTATTAAGTTTTGAAAAGCTAATACAGTTGTATAACCATCACTGTGATCAAGATATAGAACATTTGCATCACCCCAAAATGTTCCCTTATGCCCCCTTTTAGTAAGCAGTCACATGGTATGGGTGTACCACAGTTTGTCCATTCATCCACTGAAGGACTTTGGGGTTATTATCAAATTTGACTATTATGAATAAAGCTGATATGAACATTTGTGTATAGGTTTTTGTGGAAACATAAATTTTAATTTCTTTTTGGTAAATATCTAGAAGTGGGGGGCCCCCTGGCTGGCTCAGTTGGTAGAGCATGCAATTCTTGACATTGGGGTTGTGAGTTCATGCCCCACGTTGGGCATAGAGCTTACTTAAAAAAAAAAATCTAAAAGTGGAATTTCTGGGTCACATGGAAGGTATTTAACTTTAAAAGAAATTGTTGTCCTTATAAGTACTTGATATTGTCAGAGTTTATTATTATTTTTATTGTAGCCATTCTAATAGGCATGTGGTTTTAATTTGTATTTCTTTAATAACTAATTATTTTGAGCATCTTTTTTTAAAAAGATTGATTGATTGATTGATTGATTGATTTGTCAGAGAGAAAGAGCCAGAGTGAGAGAGCACAAGCAGGGGGAGCGGCAGGCTGAGGGAGAAGCAGGCTACCGTCTGAGCAAGGAGCCCGGTATGGGGCTTGATCCCAGGACCCTGGGATCATAACCTGAGCTGAGGGCAGACGCTTAACCGACCGAGTCACCCAGGCGCCCCTGTTGAACATCTTTGATGTGCTTATTTGCCATCTGTACTGGGTTGAATAGTGTCCCCTCTGAATTCTTGTTCACCTGGAACCTGTGAATGTGACCTTACTTGGAAATAGGGTCTTTGCAGATGTAATCAAGTCAGGATAAGGTCATGCTGGATTAGGGTAGGCCCTTATCTAATGACTGATGCCTTTATAAGAAGGGAGAAATTTGGACACATACAGTAGTCTGCCCTTACCTGTGGGGGATATGTTCCAAGACCCCTGGGGATGCCCGAGACCATGGATAGTACAAAACCCTCATATATGCTATATTTTTCCTATACGTACATACCTATGATAAAGTTTAATTTATAAATTAGGCACAGTAATTATTAGTATTATTGTTGTTGTTAATCAACAACAACAATAATAAAATAGAGCAATTATAACAGTATACTGTAAAAAAAAGTTATGTGAATGTGTTCTCTCTCTCAAAATACCTTACTGTCCTGTACTCACCCTTCTTCTTTTGAGGATGTGAGATGATAAAATGCCTATGTGATGAGACGAAGTGAGGGGAATGATGTAGGCTTGTGACATAGCGTTAGGTTACTACTGACTTTTTGACACTGTGTCAGAAGGAGGATCATCTGCTTCTGGATTGTGGTTGACCAGGGGTAACTGAAACCGTGGAAAGCAAAACCTCGGATAAGGGGGGACTATTGTACATACACAGAGGGAAGACAATCATGTAAAGATGGAGGCAGAGATTGGAGTTATGCTGCCACAAGCCAAGGTGAGCCAAGGACTGCTGGCAACCACCAGAAGCTCGGAAGAGGCAAGGAAGGATCCTTCCCTAGAGCCTTCTGAGAGAGCATGGACTGGCAGACATCTTGATTTTTGGACTCCTAGCCTCAAAAATTATGAGAGAATAAATTTCTGTTATTTAAGCCACCAAGTTTGTGTTGCTTTGTTATGGCACCTCTGGAAAAGTAATAAACCATCTGTATATTCTCTGGTGAAATGTCTGTTCATGTCTTTTGGCCATTTAAAAATTGGATTGTTTGTTTTCTTATTGTTCATAGTTTTGTTCAACACTCTACTTTTGGATAGCAGGGAAACCTATATATCTAAATTAGTCTTTAATATAATCAAATATTCATTCACGTATAAATTTCCAGTTATCTCATAAATGTCATATTTTTTTTCTGTTAGCTTGTTTGAATGCAAATAAGGTCCATACATGGTAATTTTTGATATGTCTCTTGTATTCTTTTAATTTATAGGTTCCTCTCATATCTTTTTTTAAAAAAGATTTTATTTATTTATTTGTCAGAGAGAGAGAGAGAGACAGAGCACAAGCAGGGGAAGCGGCAGGCAGGGGGAGAAGCAGGCTCCCCGCCAAGCAAGGAGCCCGATGCGGGACTCAATCCCAGGACCCTGAGATCATGACCTGAGCCAAAGGCAGATGCTTAACCGACTGAGCCACCCAGCCATCCCCCCGCTTTTTTTAAAGGTTTTATTTATTTGTCAGAGAGAGAGAGACAGACAGACAGACCTTTCATATCTTTTTATTCTTTGCAATTTATCTGTTGAAGAAACTGGGTTCTTTGTCCAGTAGAGTTTTCCACAGCCCAGATTCTGCTGAAAGCTTTCCCATGGTATTGTTTAACATGCTCCTCTGTCTTCTGTATTTCCTGTAAATTCATAGTTGGATCTAGATGCTAACTCAGGTGCAGGTTCATATATTTTTTAGCAACCTCAATTATGAAATACTCGTATCAAGCCATAAGCAATATAATTGCAAAACAGCCCTCTACACATTTCACATCTCATCAATTCTAGTATTGTAATTGCAACCCAACAACTCATGAATGTACAGAAACAGGCATCACGAGGAGCAAGAACTATCACCCATTGATTTTGTAGATGAGCAGTGTGCAACTCTTGAATGACAGTGCTCACTTCACTGAATCTGTGCACTTTTCATTCATCTTGCGTGAACGATGGGGTGACTTAAACTCAAATGCAGCATATAAACATTTTCTGGCCAAAAAAGCACAAGTTAAAAACAAAATATTTACATCATTTACTATTTAACACCATAAAAAATGGCCTTAACTAAGCTCTTTCTCACTATATTGAGCAGACTAATAGGGCATCTTAGGGCATGATAGAGACTCTCCTATCACAGATGACTCTCAGGTTAAACTCTTTAAATAAGACCACCACATATGCTTCACCAGCTTTCTGAAGTACACTATGGCTGCCCTCAGGAAGCTCAAATCTATTTTGAAATCCTGGATAATTTCCCTTACCAGATTCTGAAAAGAAAGCTTTTGGATTGGAAGCTCTATTGACTTCCAGCCTGTACAACAAGACTTTTAAGTCTCTGTCTGTCTTAGTGACCAGCTATTTTCATGGGGGTTTTCCACTCAGTGGATTTGTGAGCACAGTGCTTTGTGTCACCCATTTCCTTTAACCTAATACCAAAGTCTGTCTCTGCTGCTATGCCATTCATGTGCTCTAGTAACCAAGCTAAGAAAAAAAAAAAGTTGCTTTTCAACCAATACCTAACCTTTCCACTCTCAGAATCATTGTCTTTTTAAAAAGTTTTTTATGTATTTATATGGGTATACACACATAAGTAGTGTGTGTGTATAAGTGTGTGCATATGTATGCACACAGATACATATGTAATTTAAATAACTTTTTAAAAACGAATAAGGAAGGACTTTTAAAATATAACTACAATGACGTTATCACTTCTAACAAAATGAACAATAATGTATTAATATGATCTAATACCCAGCCCATATTCAAATTTCCCTGGTTTTCTCAAAAATTGGTTATTTTGAGTCAAGTTCCAAACAAGAGCCACACAATTCATTTTATGGCCATGTTTCTTAAGTGTTTTTTATTCTACAACAATGTCCCCTCTTCCTTTTCTTCCCATGTATAATGGCCTGAATGTTTGTGTCCCCCCCACAAAATTCATATGTTGAAATCCTAGCCCCCCGTGTGATGCTATGAGGAGGTGGGGCCTTTGGGAGGTGAGTAGGTCATGAGGTTGGAGCCCTAATGAATGGGATTAGTACCCTTATAAAAGGGACGTCAAAGAGCTCTCTCGCCCTTCCACTATGTGAGGACACTGCAAGAAGTTGGCTGCAAGAAGTTGGCTGTCTGCAACTAGGGGGCAGACCTTCACCAAGAACCCAATCGTGCTGATCCCTTGATCTTGGACTTCCAGCCTCTAGAGCTATGACAAATAAGTTCCTGTTGTTTATAAGCCACCCATTCTATTATATTCTGTTAGAGCAGCCTGAACTGAGTAAGACACCATGCTATTGGAGAAATTGGGCCATTTGTTTCTCAAAGTGCCCCACTTTCTGTGTTTGGCTGATTACCTCCTTCTGGTACCATTTAACTTGTTCCCCTATCTCTTCTATTTCCTATACAGGTGTTTAGATCTAGACTAGAAGATTTATTTGTTTCAGGTTCACTGCTTTTGGCAAAAATGCTTTGTTAAGTGGTGCTGTGTGCATTCCATTGCATCAATCAGAAGGCGCATCATATCTGGTCGTCTCACTTTTAGTGATGAGATTTATTTTGCGGTGAGATGGGCTTGGCCTGTTCCTTGTTAAACTTTTAGCTAATAGGTTTAGCATTCATTGATGCTTTTTTTTTGTAAACTCTAGCACATTCTTATTGCTGTATTAATTTTGAAGACGAGCACATCCTACCCACAGCAGTGTTGTTCCAGGAAGCAGGGCAGGAATAGTGGTAAGTTAGAAAAGAGACTATGAATTGCACAAATACTATAAAAGTAAAAACATGTTTCAAAACTACAATAAGCCCGTATCCAAAGGAGTCGTCTAGGTCAGTGGCGTGCTGGGCTGTGAATCCCGCGGGCTCGCTCTGGCCTGCCGGCGCCCGTGAGGCCTGCCACCTGCCTGGCAGAGGGGGGATGCGCTACACAGAGCCGGGAGGGTTGCTACTGGGTGGGAGAATTCACAGATGTTCCAGGTGACTCATGTCAGGATCATTCCTTGTGCAAAGTCTGATGTAGATGAAGATAAAGTGGTTTCTTGGTCAATAACTGCAATTTCTTTCTTTTAAAGTCAGTGGGTTTCTTGTATAGTCTTATTACAATCGGCCCGGCTTTAATTTCATCCATCTCCATGAAAGCAAAGCACTTGGTGCTGGTGAACCTTTTTTTAGGCTTGCAGTGTTCGAATTCAAAGAAGATAGCTGCAGCTTTGGTTAATTTTTCAACATCCTTCTGGAGCTCAATGTCCACGTTAAAATGAACATATGTATCTTCTTTTCTTGAAGCCACAGGAGTATCTTGCACAGGAGTTAAATCTATGCCATTCAGATCCTTTACGCTAACTGTGATACAGGGATCGATGCACTGCCCCGCATCCTTCAGACCGATTTTCTCAATTCTGATGGTGAGTGGCGTCATTCCTGGCTCTGACGGCAGCCTGGGTAGTAAAGTGCCGTGAACTCTAGCAGGAAAGGAATCAGGAGACCCTGCTCCAGCACCACCCTCTTCTTCTTCTTCTTCAAATTCCAAATTCTCTTCTTCACCAGGTGCTAAAATTCTTCTTAAGGGGACAGGCTGAACGTCAAATGGGAATTCCTTATTATACGTAAGAATATTCTTTAGGATTGGTTCTAGCTTCTTCAGGTCCTCCAGTTTAAATTCTTCTTGAGACTGTGTGGACTGTAAAGCTGCACTTCGTAATTCCAAACATGTTGCAATTTTGCCTATGGTTTTCTTTCGTTCTTCTGTGAATTCAGAATTATTGTGTTGAGCTTGGGCCTCTTTTGTTGATGTCTTGCTAATATCTGATACTCGTCTATCGCCTCCACCAGCTGGCCCCAAGAGTCGAAGTCGGCGCCTCTCCTAAAACTGGCGCCCCAGCGCTGCAGCAGACTCCGGGTCACCTCCGACATGGCCGGTGCCCACCCCGTCCCCTCCCGCCCCTACCCCAGCAAGGCCGGGCTCTAGGGCGCCATCCTCCCCGGGCCTGGCCCCGACATTAACAGGGCCAGGAGGAACCACTACGGCCACCACCGCCACCCACTGAGGACTCATTGATGCTTTTTGCCTAAATCCATTCGTTCATTAGGAGTTGCAAAGTGGTGACTTTATAATCCTCTCGTTCCTTTTGCATCGATTAGTGGAATTCTCTGTAATGAAGAACTTTTCTTATCAACCTTTTTAGTGACCCTGAAGTACTGTTTGACCAGGAATTGAAGAATCAGTGCTTAATTCTTTACCTTTGTTTATTTTTAATGTAACGAGTTGTTGCTCTAGAAACTTCCAGTGATGATCAATGAGTTTTTTTCTTGAGAGTCCTAATGAACTTACAGAATTTTATATATTTGATGTGTTTCAGTCAACCACAATCATTTTTTAAATGCTCAATTTGATAACCTTTGGCCAGGAGAAGCCCCTTTAAGTCAGCTCCTGGGTCTTGCTGTATCCTCAGTAGTCTTTGATAGTGTCCTTGCTTTTTGGTATGACAACATGCCTGAGGCTCATCTTGAATTCCCTACCCTACACCTGGAATCAGCCATTTCTCCAGGGAGCCATGGATCCTTTTAATGGGAAATGCAATGAACATAAGTAATTTTGTTTGTTTTTGAAATAGACTTTATTTGTTAGAGCAATTTGGGGTTTCCAGAAAAATTGAGCCAAAAGTATAGGGAATTCCCATATATCTCTTCTTCCCCTCTTCCACAGTTTCCCCGATTAACATATTGCATTAGTTGGGTATATTTGTAACAACTGAGAAACCAATATTGATACATATTATTACTAAAGTCCATAGTTTACATTAGGGCTTACTCTGTGTTGTATAGCTCTATGCATTTTGAAAAATGTATATTTCATGTGTACACCATTATAGTATCATACAGAATATTTTCACTGCCCTAAAAATGCCCTGTGCTCCACCTGTTCATCCCTTACCCCCCTCCCAGAACTCCTGGTAAGCATTGATGCTTTCACTACTGCCATAGTTTTGTCCACAAATATTTTCAAAAAGTTCTATCAGATGAAGGAAGTTCTTAAAAGACCAAAAGTGAGGATGAAATGTTACCCAGAGGAGACAACTGAAAGACCCAAGTCCCTGCAGAGGCAAGAGCAGATGGAGTCTAGAAGGGATTAGCTCTGACAGAAGCAGCTACAGGCAGAAAGAATGTGGATAAGAGTTAAGATCAGAGGACAACTGAGCCTGGGGGCTACTACTACCACCTCCAGGTGTTGAGTGGGGCACAGATCCCAGATATTCTCAGAACCTGCCTCTTGCACCTTTGTGTACCCAGGCTCAGGGGACCTAGTCCTTCTCTCTTTTTCCCTCGGAGTCCTCTCCTTTCCACCGCTCTTGGAGTCCCCGACTCTTAGACAGTCCAGTTCTACTACTTATCTCAAGGATAGCTGTGAAGCCTAAGTGAGATAATACGGATAACGTGCTTTACACACAGCAAACAATAATAATCAGTTGTCCTTGTTGTTATTACTGAATTAAGGCCCCAGAACTTTCAGATCTTGAGGTCCTTCACCCTTTTATCTGCTCTCAGGTTTAATTAGTACCAGGACTTGTAGGATTTTAATCAGCATCAATCTGTGTGATCAGGCCTCACCCAGCTCCCTTACTTATATTTATCTCTGTACAGTAGCCCATATTTGAGGACCCTTTCACTTAGGGCCCAGGACAAACGACCACTGCCTTCCTCCTACCCTCCAGGTTTTGCAAAGGACCTTCAGAGTCCCGAATGCCTTGTCTATGGTGAGAGTGTAGGTGAAACTTCTCTTTTACAGGACGTAGGTCAATGAGGCAGCCAGGCTGGCCATGTCAGCTATAAAGCAGCCTCACAATTGGCTGAGTTGTATTTGAAAGGCTGTCCTTTGGGTATACATATGGACAAAGTTATGAGTATTCTTAAACCCACTGGAACTTCTCCATTCTAAATATATACTCCATCTCTCAAGATCATACAGCAGGCTGAAGATAAGGAAGTGTGGATACTTGTCCCTTCACCATCACTTATTTAGGCCTTGAGCAGTAGGGTAAAACTGGGGCAAAACTAGAATTTTCTGGGATTTTTTTCAGTCTCTGAGAAAGAGTAACTTGCTTTGAGGAGATCCAGGCCGATGGTACAATTTTAGCCCCTTGGGAAATGATGGCTGAACATCCAGTCTTGAGAGTTTACCCAAGAGGGAAGACATGGAAATATCAGACATCATGAGTCCAGATAGGGTTGGCTGTGCTGCTGCTGTTGCTACAGGCCACAGGCTGTGTGGACAGAAGTCAGCCAAGATGAAACCTACTGCTCTTCAGAGCTCCAGGTGCAGACCTAGAGCCAGACCTTTAGCAGGTACCAATATTGGAAATAAAGGATAGCTGTTCTGCCTGTTTCCCTACCTGGGTGCCTTAGATTTTCAAAGGCAAGGTCTAGGTCACTTGAGTCCCTGCCAGCAGTGAGGAGATACTCCTATGGAAGTACTGTGTGCAGACAATACCTCTGGGGCTGTTTCTGGAAGGGTGGGGCTTTGTGTCTGCAGGGCCAAATTTTGCCAACCACTTAATAGGCTGATGCCATCAGCCAGAAGGTGGTAGCTTCCTCCCTGAGCTCCTATGATAACTAGGATTGGGAATGACAGAGTTGCTGTGAACTCCTCCAGGAGGTGCCTCTAGCACAAGTAGCTCATGGAATGATGTCTAGGTCTGGCCAGTGAAAGCTTGGGCAAGCTGGGTAGAAGGGCCATTTTGGAGGGAAGCATCTGAGTACAAGCATATTGAACTCGAGGTCAAGCTGGATGGGTAATGCCCAAAGTGTTAGTGAGGTGGCGATCCAAAGTTAGGACTCCATTACTGGCCTCAGTGTGATGAGCTTCTAGGTCTGTAAGCTCTCCAGATTAGAGACTTTGCTTTGCCCCAAACTAGAGAGGAGTTAGAGCTGAAGGCTGAGGGACAAGGCTACCAAGATTTAGAAATCTGCAGGGGAGGAAGCCAGGTAGGCTTGAACCTAGTCTCTTTGGGCATTCTTCCAAGAAGCATTTAAATGGCCCAACTGGCATCCTGAAATCTAGACCCCCTTCTGTTACCACCCCTCCTCCCTTCTCTGGGCAACGAGTTATTTAATAATTAACAATGGGTTAATTGCTTGGAAATGTTTATTTGAGCCAAGATTTAAACTTGTTTCCAGGTAAGTATCGGGAGGGTCAGAAGCCTACAAGGGGTAGTTGGTTGCAAAATGGGAATTAGATGGAGAAGGGATCCATCTTGATGATGATGATGATGATGATGATGGTGATGATGATTTTAGTAATTTCTACACCCAACATAGGGCTTGAACTCATGACCCCAGGATCAAGCGTCTCATGCTCCTCCAACTGAGCCAGTCAGATGCCCCAGGATCCATCTCTATTAATCTCCAATTAGGTAGACTTGTGAAGAGAGCTAAGAACTTCATTGTTCAGTGCCATCAGGAAGTCACTAATTTTATTCTCTCTTCGGTGGTTACCTATTAATTAAGTGGAAATAAAGAGGAGAATATTTGGAGATGGATTTGCTCAGACTGTCTTGTGCCTTGTAGAGTCAATATTCTTAGCTATTAATGAGATCTTGGATAAAAGGAAGTAGGTGCAAAGGGAGGCAACCAGCTAGAGGTATTGCCTGGCTAAGAGCAATACGATGGGCTAGATGGACTCAGAGTATTCTGCCTCTTCTCCTAACTTTTTCAGTGATCCTTTGCTCTGGGTTCTGCAACAGGAGTCTCAACCCTGGGGTTATTCCACCACTATAGACAGAACCCCATGATTTCATATATGATGATTAAGAGTATGGGTTTGGTGTCAGATCTGAGCTAGAATCCCAGCATGGCCATTTACCAGCTGTGTGACCTTGAACAAGTTACATAATCTCTCTGTTTCCTCAGCTGCAAAATGGTAGTAATAACAATACTTACCCCTTGATTGTTCAGAGAAATAGATGAATTTAATGCACATAAAGCACTTAATGTAATGCCTGACAAATAAAAGGTACTTAACAATGAATACTTGTTTCTTTTCATGCTTTCTCATACCAGGAATCTACTGTGGTGGAAAATCCCAATTGCTCTGATGTTGGGTTTTTTTTTTTTTTTACGCATATTTCTTCTGATAAGGCTGCTACCAGTGGAGGCTTGATGAAGCCCTGGGCCCTACTTAGGGCGGTGGCCTGGCAGCCCCTCTGTCTTTGACAAGCTCACCTCTACTTTTTCCAATATGGTATAATAGTTTTGAGTATGGACTCTGGAGTTAGATCTGGTCTGGAATCCCAGCTCAACTATTTCCTGGCTGTATAACTTTGGGCAAATCATTTAACCCTTCTATGTCTCAATTTCCTCATCTAAAAAAAAATAATAATATTAAGTTACCTCATAGGGATTGTTGGGGAGGACTCAATGAGCTGATGCATGTAAAGCACTCTGAACAATGTCTGGCACTGGACGCCTGGGTGGCTCAGTCGGTGAAGCATCTGCCCTCGGCTCAGGTCACGTTCCCCGGGTCCTGGGATCGAGTCCCACATCGGGCTCCTTGCTCAGCAGGGAGCCTGCTTCTCCCTCTGCCTGCCGCTCCCCCTGCTTGTGCTCACTCACTCTCTCGGACAAATAAATAAATAAAATCTTTAAAAAAAATGTCTGGCACATGGTGAGTGCTCAAAAAGTGGTAGCTGTATTGTTGTCTATATTATTATTATTTTTTTAAAGAAAGATGATTTTTAAAAAGATTTTATTTATTTGACAGAGAGAGAGAGATTACAAGTAGGCAGACAGGCAGGCAGAGGCAGAGGAAGAAGCAGGCTCCCTGCTTAGCAGGGAGCCTGATGCGGGGCTTGATCCCAGGACCCCAGGATCCTGACCTGAGCCGAAGGCAGACACTTAACAGACTGAGCCACCCAGGCGCCCCTGTATTATTTTCTTTATCCTCACTCCCATTCTCTC